TTTTCTTAGTGGATAACAGTTACATCTTAAAGAAGAACTGTTCATGATTCCATGCTTGTCTAAAGCAGAAGGAATAGAAAAAGTTAAGATTGATTTTGTTTTATAAAACAGTGGCAATGATATATGTGGAGTCTATGCTAATGTTTAGTCAGCATCATAGACAGTGCCAAAGGCCGACGTAGCTTCTGTGACTGAAAAGCGAAACATAAAAAGTGAAGCCGATGGGGAAATGCCTTCACCCTGCTTTGTTTTTAATGAAAGCTGGGGGAACTAGATGTGATTGTAAAAAGACTTCCAGTCTCACAGGAGTCTATGGGAAAATGTACCACCGACTGGACCTCAAGTTCCACGTGACTCATTTCAGGAAATACTGAATAAAACATTAGGTCCATTTTTAAAATTTTGGCCATTCTAAGGTTTGCATTATACATTGCGGACACAGACGTGCACATCTGGAACCCTGACGGCCGAGCAGTCTTTCCTGTTATACTTCTTTGAAGTCCCCCACCTGGGTCGCATGCGTGGCTAGTGCATTGTAATGTAAAGTCTCTGTGGAAAAGTTCTTGCAGTCCACATGGAACCTCACGCTCAGTGTCTGATCACAAAATGAAAGTCACACGGGAAAAAGATCTATGAATGCGTAAAGTATAATCCCATCTTAAATGTCAGAAAGGAGAATAATCTGGGGCTAACAGCTTGTTATTGACAGCTCATTAGCCAATGAGCATGCAGTTGGATTAACAGTTAAATTCACACCTTTCTCACTGCAGAAAACCACAAAGGCTTCAGCAAAAACGCTCATCTCGACACCTCATAACAGAACTACACCAGTGGATGATGTCATAATAGATATGTCCATCATTTATAATGTCTAGGGTCAGTGCCTAGCTGACTAATAATTTGATAAGAGTAATGTGGGCCTTGAAATGACCTGAAAGAGTAAGCCAAACTAAATATAACATCTTGTGTTCAGATCTGACTGAGTAATGACACTGCGGAGAACTGAGTGTATTTGATGCCTCACGCAGCATCCTTGATCCAAAACAACAAACTCTGACCAGCACATTTCTCATGTGACCTCTCTCTACCGGTCAGATGGGGCAACAGACCAGCTCTGATGTCACGATATTACACATGTCAGAGCCTGGACCTCAGCCACTCACAGCCCAATACTCAGCAGGACAGATTACATGGGCCCGCCCACTCCCACTGACACGCCATCTGCCATCGCAGCGCCCATGCACACTGTAAACACATACTCGAGCACGGGCATGCAAACACTTTTAATTTTCAAAGAGATGCTGACAAGATGTATAAGGTCACCGCCGGCCAAAATGACTGCCTGGACCGGCAGGCTGAGACGGACAGGCAGGGCAGGCGGATGTCATGGAAGTGACAGGGGGTAATAACGAGTCAGCATTCGCTCACATCACACTTCACTGTGGCACTTTTTCATCATGGCTAAAAGCTATTTGCTTTCTCTCAAATCTCTGAGTCCTGACTGTTAGATTAGTATCACAACAGATCCGAGAAAGTCAGAGGAATTTCCTGATTGTCCAGAGTAGTTCAGATCCACAATATGAAGCTATATTTTGCACCTGGAGTTTAAATCAACAGCTTATTTAAACACAACAGTACTATTTTTATGTCAATTTCAGTGAGATGTTTCACTTCAAAAGCTTGTTGGGGCACTTTTTCCCTCTACACTTCCTGGACATCATCCCTGTCAACGACATATTCCGTTTGTTATCCTTTATTTTAAAGACTTTATCTTACATGGTTACTTTGGATGTTTGCCTATTTTGTCAAAAGTTGAATGAGTAGATCAATGCCACTTTTATATCTGTATAGTTAATAAGTTATTATAATTAACTACCACCATGATTGTGAGTGGTAGTAAGGCTTCTGAAAAAAATTAAATAAATAAATACCATGACTTGATAGCGTGGCAAGAGTATAACTGTATATCAAAGATGGACATAGCTTCAACAACTGCCTGAATTGTGTTCTCATGGCCAACGGAGAGTTCACCTCATTGGGTCTCATTGTCTAGAGGTCCCTGTAGCTCTCTTGATTTATGACCTCAGTAATCACCTTCCTAATGAGTATAGGTCTAGGTATATTGCCTCAAACACTAGCTTGAAGTCTTAATTAATATAACATAGTACAATGGTACACTGTGATCCTATTAGAGTAAATTATATGCAAAAGCAGGGCATGATTTGGTGTGTCGCTAACATGACTTGTTTCTCAGTCAGATCCACCTCAAGAAACCACAATGAAGCATTCAAACAAGTCCAAGCCAACAGGTAAGATTAATGTGGCTAGGCGGCACCTTAGATATTGAGGTTTTGCAGTCATATGACCACTAATCATGTGACAGTAACTTTGTTTTGATCATCTGTCCACCACCAGTTGCGAGCGAAAAATGTTTATTACCTGACAGGCTGGTGAGCCATTGCTGTAGTTTGATGGTAATCACTGGCAATCGACTCCAAAAGCCCCAGTCACACAGGCTTACAGACCCGTCAAGAGACTCCCTGGCAACCACTGGTTGCTAGGGAACAATATGTAATATGTTGTACAAAGCAAGTTTCTGATGCAATAAAATCTCTGTGACTGATTACACCAAGCGGCACAAGCAGCTTCCAGCAACTATTTGCCAACCAGTTAGGGAATGAATATTTTTCAAGGTTGTATCACATCTAATGTGGGGGACAACTCTTGAGCAATGTGAGCATGACATGATGAACCTGAAGTATATGTTTAATAATTAGCCTAACAACCATAAAAGTAGTTTGTCAGTGAGTAATGATCACACTTAAGATCATAAAGGAAATAAAACTTTTTTTTAAAAATATATTTATCATGGTGAGTTCACAATTTATCATGATGCATGCATGGGATACAGTATGTTTTATGTTCAATGTGTATACAAATTCAAAAGTAAGAAAATGTATAGTTATAAAAGTTAGGTATAAAAGTTGTGCGTAGATGTTTTTGCTTTCAGACCAAGCTAGTCTAGCCATTCGTGGTCTTCAATATAAGAGTGGCATTGATTTCCCCATCTGGCACATAAAAAACACTTCTTTGAATTTCCAGAGTGATTTATAGAGGACATAAAACATGAGACAGTGAAAGTGGACAGTATATCCTTGGTTTCTTGGCATAAACATAATTGTTAAAGCCGTCTCAAACTGCTTTTCAGTTTTACTGGTCTTATTTTCCTCCGAGCTGTCAATTCTGTCACTAGTTAGCTAACATAAACTAATGTAAGTCTATTAGCCACAACCAACCGACCAACCAAATGACATCACATTCCGTACTGACAGAAGATGATGCTAAACTGTTTTTTCAAACTTGAACTTTAAGCACTTATTTCTTAAATACAGCTTCACAAACAGAGTTACATCAATGTCAGTTGTTGCTATCATGTTTCCATGTCTTCTTTAAAGTTGTCATTGTGGATTGAAACAACCCACAAATAAAAGTTCTGTATTTAAGAGTCCGCAGTGATAAAGACAATGAAAGAGCAACAAAAAAACAAAGACAAAAACATGTAAAATAAATAAACGAACAAAAAGAGAAAGGAAGAAGCAAATACATTTTTACAAAGTCCATCCCTTACATGATAAATGGAGGCTGGGTCCCTGGGAGGTGACTCTCTCTGATTTGTCTGAAGGACATAATGGGAGGGGCTTTGACTGTGGTGGCTCCGCCTCTTGGCACGTTTGGCCGTATCATTGGACCGTTTGCCCGGACGAGCTGTGTGGGAGGAGTAGTCTTCACCGCTGGTCCGTTCGTCCCCACCGGACAGTCCCACGTAACGCATAAGCGAGGCTTCTGTGAGACACAGTTACACCAGCCAATCAAAGCTCCGCCCACATTTGACTGATTTTGATCTCCTGCTCATACTTTTTCTAGTCTGTCTTCATCAATACTTCCTATGATGTCATGAAGGTTTCTGGGTTAATTAGAGACTAAATTTAAAAATATATAAATAAAAGGCTGCAGAAAAAAATGGCCTGTTATTCAAATGCATCAAAATTAGGGCAGTAGACTTCAAGAGCAGTCAATAGAAAGATTTTAAAAAAGGAAAACTTTTTAAAGCTTTTGACTTCTATTTACAGAATCCATACTTACTTCATCAGCTATTTTGAAAATATCTAAGGAGTGCAAAAATTCCAGACGTAATTTTTTTTTTTTGTGCCCCGTAGTCTCGGCATCCCTCGAGGTTAATTAGTTTTGTTTAACCCAGACTGCAGTAAAAAATTCTGCATTGTGTTTTATCACCTGATAAACAGACTACTTAATTTGTGAAATAAAGAAAACCATGCAGCAAATCAGCTCTGGGGATTTGGTAATTTATAACCAGGACTAACAGATTAAGGTCAAGAAAAGATCACGGTCACTGTTGAATAAAACCATCTTATTAGCTGCAATGCAGTTATGTAAAAAGCCAACAAGAAGACCAAAGTCAGCACATATGGGAAGGACAAACTGTCAGAAAATCCCTTCAGGCAGCGTCAGTTGATAAAGACGTATAAATAATAAACCTGCACAAATTTACTTTGGTGAAGGTGTGATGAGGAGTTTTTGTGTTTTCATGTGAGGATTCAGAGACACACATCCTGCAGCCATTTTCACACGCTGCCACTAAGCGGTGTGCCCACAAAGGAAGTGAGGAAGAGAAGTGTTAGCCAGCATTGAAAGGGGCACACCAATTTATCACACAAAGACTCCACGGTTGTTACTTTTCAAGTCAAATGATTGTGCATTCAAAAATCTGCACAAATAACACAGACTTCACTTATATTTGTGCCATTTTTCACAATACAAACTGCAGTTTCCAGTTTCCTTCAGTTTGGGAGCATGATTTTTTATTTCCTTTGTCAAATATTGCACTGCTCTCCCACATAATTCATAAGGTCTTTGCACGCATTTGGATTTCCTCTGTTCTTGCTCCAAACTGCACCTCGGCACACAGAGGTTCTGTTGCCTGGACTCATTTCCTGTGTGATATCCATCCTCTCTGCTCCCAGGATTTTTCAGTTTGCTTGTGAAACTTCAGCTTTCTGATATTTGTGCAACAGGTTATGACCCAAGTGGGCACAAGTCCCTGGGCAATGATAAGCACTCAATCACTGGTTTGATTCCCTAGCTGAACTGCAAGTCATTTCATGTAGCACTGGTGTAGGAACAGTGGATACATTGGATTAAAGGGAGAGTACTTGTCCATGAGTGATGCTTCAAGTACAGCGAAAGTACTCACTTGATGATTCTGCACCTCAAAAAAAATTAATTTTTAAGGATGCGGAGCTAATCTCTATTGTGAATACACACCATTTCAGCTCTGCTCCAAGGTGAGGTGTAGCCAGTTATGGTTACTGGTTATAATAGCATGGTTTTGCAACAACTGCTCCACAACCATTATTATTATTATTATTATTATTATTATTATTATTATTATTATTATTATGTGTTAACCGTTAGCACAGGGTAGGTTTAAAAAAAAATCCCTAATTATCAGACAAATATGCTAATCACAATAACCCTGGTAACACTGTTTCTAGGAAGTGAAAATGACCATATAAGCAATGCATTTATTAATATATTTTGAGATTTGCTATGGAGACATGGCACTCAAAGAATCCAGAGTAGAAATATATGAGCAAAAATAGAAAATCCTGCCCCTGCTCCCACAGAACCAATCAACATGAAACATTTTTGGGGGATGTTTCAGTCCAAGTTTTTAGAGTTAGTATGGAGTTTAGTCCTTTTTATGTTTCTAAGTTTAGTTGTTCTTCTGGTTCATGTTTTCTTGTCTCAGTGTCATCCCCCGTGTTTCCTCTGAGAGTCCATCATGTCCTCTGTGTATGTTCCTCAGTCATGTCCATATCTCCCTCCGTGTCTTGTCTCCCTTTTCGGTCCCCAGTTTCCCCGCCTTGTTTTTTATTCCTTGTCTCCCTTGTCAGTCATGTGCATCCATGTGTGTTCTCCACAGTCCGTCATGGCTCTGTGTCCCTCACTCATTCGTCCTCTGCATCTCCTCAGTCTGTCTGGTTCCCATGTCTGTCCTCCCCCCGGTCCCAGTGTCAAACCTGTGAGTCCTAGTCTGTGTTTTCGTGTGCTTCCAATTTTATTTTGACATTTTCTCATCCTGTGTTCAGTGTGTTCAGTTTCTCTTCCCCTGTCTCCTATTCATCCCAGCTGTGTTCCCCATGTGTTTCCTTTCTCCCTAATCACCCTCGTGTGTTTCTATTGTATGAGTTTCCTTTTGCTCCTCGTCAGGTCGTCTGTCCGTTGTTCATCATGTTGCAGATTTTTCCCATATCCAGGTTCCGTGTTCCATTTATTTTAATCTTATCTTCTCAGTTTAGTTTATTGTTTAGCTTCATCTTACTTCCCTTCTGCATATCGTAATTTTTTTTCCTTCAGTCTAAATAAAAGGCTCTTATTCTGTTAAATCCATTCTCCTTTTGGTTTGTCTGCATTTGGGTCTACTCCGTGCACTGGCCACCGGCGGTAACAGGTCGAGGACTTTTTTCTTTTGTTTGGAATAATTCCTCTTTTATCGTTTCAAGATTGAACATTTTGCATTTTTGCTAATACATGTCCAGATGTAATAAGAAAACATGGTAAGAAGTATGTTGAAGTTACAAGAAAATATCACAGGTCAATTTGGATCGAGGGATTCAGCTCCTGCATGGTGAGGATGCTAATGTTTAGTCTTGGCTAGTTTTGTAGTCTGAGGTTTATTTTGCTTCTAAGAGAATTACGGAGAAAAATTATTAGAGAGACTGATCATGCATTAGTGTTCAGCTCTTTGAACACAAAAGGAGGAGTGTGGGGATTTAGCCATAACAAAACATCTGCAATAATACTAGTATTTTTTTTTTATATAACACATTTATTTCATGTTGTTATGTGTGCTGATGATGGCACACAATAAGATAGGTAGCATCTACAAATCACTGGAAACTGCTAAACAAAAAGTTTTTTTAATGGAATTTATATAACCAACACGCTACCAATTCAGCATTGTAAAGTTTTGCTTGTGTGACTGATGAAGTAAAATTCCTCGGCTCCAAAATACTGTTTATGAGTTCATCTGTGCAGCTGAGTTTATTCCTGCTTTGCTCTGAATTTTTTTACATCTTTTTTTGTGTAACTTCTCTCCATTTCTCCACCTGAACTCTGGAGCAAACTCGGGTTTCCTCTACCTCTCTCTTCCCTTTTCTGCGGATCCCACTCTCCTGTCCTCCCTTGGTTGCTAGGCAGCGGCCAGAGGAAAGTGAGACACCGAGAAGAGCTGCTGTCAGCGTCACCATGGCAACTGTGTGAGTGATTCAGGTGGAGGTCAGGGAGAATAAGCTTTTTTCAGTTTCTACCTCCACCCCTCAGTTCCTCTTTTCCTCTCTTTCTCTTCTTCCTCCTTTCATGGCTTCCTTTCATTTTCTCTCCCTTTGTGCAGACTGTTTGCCTTTTTTCTCCCCCCTCCTACTTCTTTCCTCATCATCCCCCCCCTCATTCCTCTGTGATGCTAATCACAGGGAGAATTAGCAAAAAGGGATAGAGGTGCATTGATCTGCACACACACGTTGATCTCTTTATAATTCATAGAGACAGGAGCGCTTAACAAATATCTAACAGGCTCTTCAGGAGACACATATGCACTCCACACGCCGGCACTCACCTCTGCGGCTTTCTCTGTTAAGCTTGGCTGGGTCTTCATAATCACCCACCCAGTTACACTCCACAGGCATGGAGATGGGCCTCAGCCTGCCTACAAGTGCACACACAATCACAAGTTTAATAGTAGCAAAGCAGATGGGTTGATCAATAAAAACTTATGGTCCTCAACCAAAAATTTGAAACTGTTGTGCAAATTTTCACACTTTCCAATAAACATTAGGCTAAATGTTGGTACACTTAAAAAATAATAATTAAAGGACAAGATGAAGAGTTGTACTGAACTGATATTTAACGATGAATAAGGGGTTTTAACAACATTAAAGCAGCCGTAGTAATTGCAGGATTCTTGTATTTCGCCAGCTTTGTAACAAGCTCAGTCGCTCTATGCTGGGCCTGCAGGTGGATTCATACTCAAATAATGATTTTTATTTTTTCTAAAGTGGCTCAATTCTGCAGCATGAGATTGAACTCGGTTCCCTCGCGCTTTGTTTCTCCCTCTCACACAAACACTCAATCATGATAAGAGCGAACCGTATGTGGGTGTGGTGCAGTACACGGGCTCCTCCTCTTCTCGCCGGCGAGACTCTTGATCCAGGAAGGAGTTCGGTGACTCAGAGCGCTTAGCAGCGCTGACGCCACCATGGTTACGAGATGCTTCATCACCAGACAAGGCTCCTGTCTCATCTCTATAGCAACAGCAGAGGCAGATTTTTAACAAATGGACGTCAGTGTCAGAGCTCATCTTTGCTGTCACCTGTTCCACTGTTTTATCCCGCTTTTATTTTCAGCTGTTTAAAAGACCCAGGTTAACTACCTGGGTGTATATGGCTCAGCAGGTGGAGGGGGGATGTAAAGATCCTGGAGGGCGGAGTTCTTGGTGGGTGTGCCTGAAGGCGTGGCTGAACTGCTGCCTGGGCTTCTGGTCGGCTGCAAAAAGTGGAAGTAGGGTTTGATTTGTCTTTTTTTTCTGGAATCTAAAAACCTTTTGCTTCAAGTTCAACTTCTGACATAAAAATATGTCCTAAATATATCCTAAATATAACTCTAATGTTGAATGGCTTGACAACTTCAAGAACCCAAGAAACACAGCACACCCATGACATAATACAATAATGAAGTGATTGTAATTGTCTTTAAATGATCCACTTTAAGCTTAAGTTATAGCTGAAAACTAGTACAGCTTTAAATAAAATGAGAAAATTTGGACAAATCTCTAAATGAAAGCGATGTGGCTGAAAAACAGAATTGAATGGGCCTGATCTCCAGGCCCTCAAGAGGAACTGGATTACAAACAGACTCTGAAGTGAAAATCACTGCATGAGCTCATTAACACTGGTGAATTCATAGCTCATTAGCGCACACTGCCTTGCTGTGAAGGCCCCATTAATGCTGAACAACATAGGCAGGCTTTAGGGAAATGCATAGAGCCATCAGTCCTTTTCTTTCTTTCTTTGCCAGAAAAGGGCTTGTTTATTACAACAAGCCACTGCCAAACACCATTTCGTATGTATTTTCATGGCTAACACTGCTATGTAAAGAATCATCCCTACATTATCCTTTTGATTCCTGGCCTCAAGCAATGATTACCCTGGAAATTTTACAATTTAAAAGCATTTACTTATTAAAAGTACTATTTGTGTAACTAATATTGCTTGGCCAAATGAGCAGAAAGTCCGCCACGATCAGAGGATAAGAGAGGTTGAACATGGTGAAATGTCACTAAGCTACAGGTGGATTGAGATGTTTTGTCATCACGAGTGAAAATACTAGTAAAGGTACTGAACTCTGATTTAAGTCAGTGTATTGTCTATGTTTCATTTTTTTTAAATCTGTCTGACTCTCTAAAATTGTTAAAACATTGACCGCAAACAGCATACCAACTGTGACACCACCCAGTGGTGCGCCTGCTCTAAAGCAAGACTTGCTTTATCCATCTTCTTGACACTAACGGGACTCATAATTTAAAAAATGAACATTCTGGTATTTAATATAACTAAAAACTGGAGATTAACACTATAAACTTATCAGGAAGGTGTTTGTCGAGATTATGAATCATTTTAATTAATTTATTTGTAAAGTGCCAAATCACAACAGCGGTCACATCAAGGTGCTTCATGTAATAAAGTAAAGATCCTACTATGATACAGAGAAAAGCATAAAAATCAAGTCTGCTAATTTGTTTTTCCATCGACATCGAAAGAATGCAGCCTTGGTGCTTGAGTTTGGAAGCAGCATCCATCTTTTCTGTACAGCCTATGTATAAAACACAAACTTGATCTGTTAGTCTTTGCATTTAAAAATAAATTATCTCTTATTCTTTAGGAAAATATCATCATTGGCAGTTATTGGAGGCATGTTTAGTGAAATAGGATAGATGGATGCAGATCTAGTTCAGGTTTGGAAATGTGAGCTTTTTGATCAATTGTGAACTATGAGCTACTTCATTTTATTCTGCGTGAACTAAACTTTGAACTAGCTCATGTGAACCTGCACGTCACTGACGTTTGTTGGATTTGGTACTGGAATTAGCCTGTGCAGAACTTCATTGGGGGGTAATCGGGGACAGGAATCGACCTGCATATTTCTTCAACTATTGTGAAAACTCCATAAGCTTCCATTAAGACTGAAAGAGATATTGCAAGGAGGGACTACTTACCATTTAGGACAAAATAAAACAAAATCAATATCCCTTCCTATAAGTGCAAAGCGAGCACAGTGGCAGCTCAGTGTAGTTATTATCTTTTTTTACCTCCATAAAAAATGATCATTGTGTCCCCAGGGCTTAGAGCGTACTGTGTTATAATATCCAATTGCAACTATAGCCAAACTACAAAAATAAGAACAAAGTTGTGTTCTTCTCCTTTGTGTTTTCCCCCTTTGTCTAGATAATCAGTGATAATTATAGTGCCATAATATAAAATCATAAGAGATTTGGGAACGTGGCTTGAGGGCATCATCAGTTTTCGTTTCCCTTTCAGTCCAGTGTGTTTCAGCTGGCAAACAAAACCATGCTGAGCCACTGCTCCCTGACCTAATTACACGCTTTAGCTCCAGTCGTTCAGGAGAGGGAATGCTGTGGGGAATTATGTGGGCCAGTGCAGTGCTTTAATAAAGTCTATAAAAGGTAGAGCTAGTCCCACCTGCAAAGCCAGGGGTTTCCAGCGCATGTTCTTCAGCAGCGCAGGGGCAGAGCTGAGCGTGCTCTGTGGACGCTTCTTCAGGGTCAGGGACACGATGCCTTTATCGGCCCGCAGCGAGCCGACCAGGTTACGTAACTGCCAGCCCACCTGTGAACGAGAGAGGACGGAAAATTAGAGAGTAAAGTGATCTGCAGAAAAACTAGAAATCCTCTATATACAGATCAAAACAATCACACCCTTATTTATACAGTAAGTAGCCTTTATGTGCAGCCTGAAGTTTGAATTCTGTCCACGTCGTGATTGGATCTCTCTTGTTGAGCGTTCTGTGCAAGGCAAGTGGGTGTGGAGGTGGAAAGTCTATCTATAGAGCTTTCATGTGATGTAACCTGCCCTCAATTTGAAAACAAATACATGTGATCACAAATCGTTTTGTTTTTTGGTTATTTTTATTTGTATTTACCCACTATATTTACAAACCCACATCAGCGCACTTTTGTGAACAGAAACACACAAGGGTAAACAAAAGTAAACACGGCAACAGGAAAGTTGGGCTAGCTTCCCCTCACTGCAGCTATTGAACTGATCTGATCATAATGCAGGAGGAGTCGTAAAGGTTAGAGGATCTGATTACACTAATTGGAAAGCAAGCTGCATGCATTTGCACCTGTACACGGTCCACAGTACAAATGTAAGGAGTGCCACTAAATCACCAAACACCAAGCAGGAACTTGGTTTAAGTAGCTAATAAAATAAATTCCTGCTTATACTGGTCATTTTATCAATCATTAGACAGAAAATGAATCTTCATGTGACTCTTTTCTGACGACACTGAAAAACTTATCAGTAGCAAGCAGGGATGAAGCAACATGGCGATTATTTTTTTCTTCTAATAATCAAATAATTGAAACCCTCGTTTTAACACTCAACAACCTGTCCATCTTTCAAACTCCTAAGATGCTTAGTTCATATTCAGCAGCTAGCAGCTAACTTAATCTGTCTGAGGTTTGTTGCCAAGCAATAGGGTATATCTATTTGAGCTTTTTTTCTTGGTCCTTACTAAAACAGCAGATTTTTGTAAGAACAAAAAACACTGAGGTGAGAAATGCAAGAATTCTATATATCACATCCAGAGCAGATCATCTGACCATCAGCTGTTTATTTCTCATGACACATGAGCATCACATTATCTCTTTTGTGTTATTTCATCCAATTGTATTACATAAATACTATCTCAGCAGCTTCAAAGGCTTATTTATTGTCAGGGTCCAGTGTAAGAAGTGAGGACTTAGCAAAGTCCAAAAACCAAAAAGAAAACTTATTAAAATCTAATAAGAGCATTCAGAAAGTGCAATTATTCCAACAGGCTTTCATGAGCAACGTGCTGTCTGACCTTTGACCTATAACCTGACCTATGTTGAGCCAAGCTATGTACTCACTCAAGCTATGGCCTAGTATATTGTTGGGAAGTTTGAAGGCGATCCCGCTTTTCTTACTTTTCTTAAAATTTATTTCAAATCATGAAAGCGGTCTCTTTTCTTGAAATTTTTAGTGTTTAGTTTTTTTTTATTTTTTGGAACCATCTTAAAATTATATTATGTAGAGAACTACTTGCGCTAAATCTTTTTTAGGGTCATATTAGCAGCAGATGTAATGTCAATTTTGTCATACGACGTCATTCGCAAGAGTGTCAATGAAAAGCCTAAAAAAGCCACAGCACACAGACAAGAGAGGGGGGTGAAAACAGAGAAACAGTGGGGAGACTAGAATTTCAGTAAAATCAAAACAGCACCCAAATGTAATAATATCACAAGAACCAAAAGTTATCATGACATCACAAAAAAATCCAATTCTATTATTGTTTGAATGAGTTTTTGTATATACAAAGAATCAAATAAGATTTAATGGTTTACTGCGTAAACACAAAAAATTGGGTACTCAGTAAGAGAACACACACCCACAAACACACCAACAAAAACTCACCACGGTCTGATGATTGACTTGAATGACTTCATCTCCTGCATGGATCTTCTTACAGCGGTCAGCCGGAGACTACAGAGGCACAGGAGCCAGAGAAAGAGAAGGCAAACAGACGACTATGAATTGATCTATCGATCCATGGGCACTGCTGAGGTTTCTCAGCAAACCCTACTTAAATAAGCTGCAATAAAGCAACAAGGGAAAGTCTTCCAGAGTCACTGATATTCTGATGTTATAAATACAAATTTCAGATTTGCAGATAATCTGAACAATAACTGGTGTTTTAGGGGAAGTCTGCAGTTCACTAGGTCAATTTGTGAAAAGTGGGATATTAATAAACCTCTCACCCCTTCTGTAGTTCCTGTGATAACATGGAGTCCATCGTAGGTTGACTTTATGTACATTCCCTAATTGACAAAGGAATGGAGAAAAAATGTAAGTGCTCTATGATACTAGTAAATATTTGGAAATACACACTGATTTATGAGTTGTAAAATTAAAAACAGCTCTCACAGAAACAGAAAGTTTATTCTAGTTTTGTCCTGCTAAAAAAAAAAAAAAATCAAGCATCTGAGCCCAAACCAGATGGGAAGGTGTGTCGCAGCAGGATGCCGTAGTAGCCGTGGTGGATAAGAGCGTGTCCTTGAATTCTGAATTAATCTCCAACAGCGTTGCCAGCAAAGCTCCCCACACGCCTTCACTGCTACAACTCCATGCATCACAGTGGAAAACCATATGCAGATATTCTCCCTTTATGTGCCTCAAAGATATGAGACTATACTCCAGATTTCCACTGATATTATGTCCATTCTTTGTGTTTCCAGACCGAGCAGGAACACATAATGCACACCCACAGTATGTGTCTCTGCTTTCTTGCTGGGAATATGATACGAAGATCTATAATAGTAACTACACTTATGGTTCCCCTCAGTTATGGTTTCTTTCTAAGACTGAGATGTTTGAACCCGAGGAAGTATTGATGTGGGCAGTAATAAGGTGCCATTAACTAGTGATTTCTGAGGCTGGTAACTCTGAAGAACTTCCCCTTTTTTTCCTGGAGTGGTGCCAGTCCTAGAAACTTTTGTGACTTGAAACTTGCACTTTAAACTTTCAAAATTTCAAAACTTTCTGGTCTGACTGATCTTTATGTCTTAGAGTAAAGATTTTTACCCACTTTGAAGTTGAATATCACAAATTTAATGCATACCAACAGTACGTCTTCAGGCAGTAAATTATGATCTCATAAAGAAACAAAAGGTTTCACCTGTTAACTTCTGACGAGGTCTACTTGTGAAGTGAAAACTATTCCAGGTAAATAACTCATTAGGCTGGTTAAGATATTATCAATAATCTAAATTAAATCTGATTTATAGTTTGGTGATTTCTGTTATGTTCTACTCTAGAGGAAAATGTTAAAAATTTAAATAAAATAAACCAAAGCCAAAAGCCAAAGTTACCCCTTTGCTAGCCTACACTCCACTTAGTAGCCAACACACTGTGACCACTCGCAGCTGAGAGAAATCATTTTCTCCAAAGTGAACGGTTAAATTGTTAAACCTGAAAATAACAGGAAGGTGGAACAGCACTTTGACTGATCAATCATTAACACTCATTGATCTGCCAAAAAATTACTGATATGGCTAGAAAATATGGTAACATGGAGACCTAACCTCCACATTATCTACAACTAGCATAAGATAAGCTAACAAGTTTTGTCATGCTAGCTATGCTAACTGCAGGTTTGTAGTTTTTCAGTGACCATCACAGTCATGGCCAACAGTTTTGGCAATTACAAAAAATGTTTTTTGTCACATCAGTATTTATGGAGATTATTTGTTCTATATTTTTCTATGATGTAGTGCATATCATATACATTCAGTTCAAAGTTTGTTAAAGACTTTTATATGCAAATAAACCAAACACACTCAAAGAGCCAGTATTTACAGAGTTGACTCTTCTTCATAACTGTATCTGCTGTTCTCTGCAGCATACTGGATATTAGCCTCTGGACCAAATCCTGACTGATGATGAGCTATTCCAGCCTGATCAGTCCTCCAAGTTGGACTTTCTGGACTTTAGCTTGTACGCTCACTTTTTAAAGGCAAACTGTAGATTTTTGATTGAATTAAGATTTAAAAAAAAAAATTCAATTTCATGATCTCTAAGCCACTTTGATGGAAAATGGACAGATCATTCCCAAATTGCCCCTGGAGAAGATGATCTTTAAGAATGTTTTCAGTATGGTGAATGAAAACATAGTTTGGAAACTGATGAAATGCTTAGGATTGTTCACTATATCACAGAAACATGTAAAAATATTGTAGCAAAAATGAAAAACTCAGTGTTGTATACCAAGCAGGTGTTAGTTTCAACTGAATCCAAAAGCATAAAATAGCATGTTTAATTATTGAACTAGAAATGACTCATTTGTGGCTCTTTACTCTCAAGTATGATGGAAGGTCTGTCATGCATGCAAGCATATGTGTTATATCAAATCAATTAATATTTTGAGTAGTTCATAGTAATTGCGCTTTTTTTTTTCAAAAATTAAACAAAATTCTGTTTTACTGTGTATATTATTTCTACAAAAAAAGAAAAAGAAAGAAAAGAAAAGAAAACAATGCTTGTATTTCTTCTTTGTCTGAGCATACAAAGGCCGGACAGAGTATGACTTAACACAATAAGATTCACACATTGCATGAATAAACAGAAGGGTGGATCTTGGGCTGTTAAACCCAGACAAACAGTGATTACCAGGCCTTCAGAGGGCTTGATGTTGGTGAGGTGAACCAGCTCAAGGTGGGCTGACTGCGAAACCAGCGGGTCCGATGACACACACACAATGTGCTCGCACACCTCCGACAGAGTCTTACACTACAGAAAAGGAGGATAAAACAGGGACAAACAGGGCTTTTATTTAGACAACAAAGAACAAGCCATGTCTTCTAGCTGTCAAAATTAGACTATATTTCTAAGAAACCTCTTAGCCTTGTGCCTCAGCAGCTTCTCCTGCTGTTGCTTTTTCTAACTTTACCCAGGAAAAGAAACAGGTGGATATTTTTGCAGATCTGCTCTAAACCAAGTGAGAATGATTTGTTGCATATGCATTTTCTTTTCCTATTTACTTATTTACATTATATAGCTTATTTTCTTTCTGTTTTGTGAAAATTGGACAAAACTTTGAGCAATGCAGGCACAAAAAGACCAAGAGCCATGATTTCTCTGTTCATGCGCTTGCCTGCTTGCAGAAGATAAGTAAACCTAAAAAAAGAGGCTTATTTATTTTACCCCCGTGCAATACGTCCCTGCAGTGCTCCAGTGGCCTTCTGATTTTGAGTCTGATTAAGGTTTGATTTTGGGCAAAGAGCCACTACAAGGTTGGTTCACATTAATCACAAAGATAGCTTTGGCTTTACTTTCCAGATATCTGTGAAATAATTGTCTCCAACCAAATATAATTGGGATTATTTTGCTGCCCACAACACTGAAAAATTGCATCTTAACAAACTTTAAGAGCAACATTTTTTTCCTGGCAGACACAATGAGACTCCATTCAAAATGTTGTCAATAGTTTCAGACATGATTTCCCTAAAAAAAGAAAGTAGCTGGAAGAAAAAGCGCTGAGCGGATGTTTTGGATAATATCTGGCAGAGACTGCCAAACATTTTCACGAACATTTATAAAAGAAACCACAGACGGTGAACTCTTGGTAGGCATCATATTATGGATTTTCACTCCCCAAGAATCTGATCTGTAAAAAAAACGAGTGTCCATCTTATACTTTGTGTGTCATTTTGCTGCATTAATCTAACTGAGGGCAGCCATGCTGGCAGCAGAGTACTCTTGATTATGTCTAAATGAATCAGACTCATCGGTCTTCCTCACAGCCGAAATGTCAATTTGTCATAACAGGGAAAGCCCGGGTGAAACTAATAGCATTAACAATGGCTCTGTTCCAGCAATTAGTGAAGCAGAGTTTGACAAATCAGAAGTGTGCTGTGAAAAGGGTCAATTAAACTTTAGCTGCCATCCAATCTTGGGACATGCTGATCTACAGTAATTGGGCTGCTTTGCAGATACTAAATGCTGCTAACATTTTCAAATGTAATTAATGTAATTTTTAAACATCTGAGCAAGGCAAACAAAATTTTAGAATCAAAGCCCAAGGTGGGACAAGTATACCCAACAGCAACTGCAAAGAAAGAAGAAAGTAATTTGGTAATGAAGCAGTAAAACTTTTAACAGTAGGTGAATTACATGATTCCCACAGGCACTGATTCTTCAAGGTGCTGGAAACATCTGCAGAGACTTGAATGTCCTCACAAAGATACACTGCCATCACCGGTCTGAACCACTGATACAAGACAGAATTAATCCATACTTTGATTATGTTCATGCCAAATTATGACCCTAACATTCGAATGCTGCAGCATAATCAAGACTCATCAGGTCAGGCAACATCTGTTGCCCATACTCTCATTTGTACTCAGTGAGCATACAGCTGGCTTTGGCTGAGGTGGTAGAATGGGTTGTTTGCCAATCAAAAGGTCAGTGGATTGATCCTGAACTTCTCCACTACATGGGCAGGATACTGAACCATGATTTGGCCCCAATCCATGTAGGTGTGGTGTGTGTATAATAGCTGTATAATAACTACATGAATAAGCAGTTATAAATGTACCTAATATGTGTATGTGTTTAGAGTTTGAAAAGAAGATTCTTAACATCTAAATTCAAAAGATAAGGAATTTCTGAATTTCAGTCATATCATGATGAGAACTGACTGCAAATCTCTAATACTGTAGTTAAATTCAGTATCAACATCAGAACAATCAATTGAGCTCATTCAGAGTATTAGATTCAGAAAGAGTAGATCATTTAAATTTCTCTAATTATGTGACTCCAAAGCTCACAGTATATTTACAGTTGGACTTGAGTCAGAACAGTGTTATTTTCATTCTGCCAGTGTCGTGTAAATGCAGTATTAAGGATGAAGCTGAAGCCAGGAGGCAGCTGGCAGCTTGACTGAACTAAAGCTCAACTAAGCCTTGTTCTTCCCAAAAAAATACAACAAGCTGTACTTCTGAAACATACGAATCAACTTTAAATAACAAAACATTAAATTGCTTTAAATTAAACAGGAGATATTTTTTTCTTCCATTACATTTTTTTTGTTACTATTTTAGTCACTTCAAGTCTTCAGTTTTTCATTTTACATATTTTACATGTTGGGGAAAACAATATATTAAGATTCTTGTAAGAACTATTAGTTAAGATTATTTAACATAGCATTGTGCAAAAATACAGGACCTGTTTGAGGCTTGGTTTTACTCTCAAATTTAGAATTTTAAATGAGAGTCGGTACAAAAGTTATGCACTTAGCTGTGATGGTCAAACTTCGGATAAAATGACTGAATATGAATTAATGTCAATAAATATCCTCACCAAAATATGTGTATGTGTGCCCCTCCCTCTACATCCGCCGCTGCAGGAGAAATTCTGGTAACATAACTGTGTTCAGCTAAAGTAATGGGAACCACTAATCTAACCATCCTCAGATTTAGCAGTGCACCAATTCATGTCTGTAAAATATACCCAAAAAGTAGGAAGTAGATTGGAAAGACAGTTTTTGAAATGAGAGGAGGGACATACAAACCAAAATGCAAATATTTAGGTGTTTTTAATTATGTTTTGCCGGTTGTCTGCCTGGATTAGTTCACAAGTTATGCTTCATTACCTAAATTCTTAGAGTATAGCAGTAGTCATTTAAAATGTATTTGTGCAGGAGCATTTCCTGGAGTCAACACACGTGAACCTGATGGGAAAAAATGACATAAATGAAAATGAGATGCAATGAAAAAAACTGTATAACAGTCTTTGGAAGCCAAATTAGCCAGTTGAGGGCTAGATTCAAACTCGCACCAAAAATTTAAGCTGTTCAAGTGTGCTCTTGGTTTTATTGAGCAGTAGATGTATAAAAAGAGGTTTACAAATGGGCACTTTCTTTTAAACAGTAGGTTTAAATGAAATTTTAGCAATCAAAACCTAGATAAAGCTTTCTATGGCAATGGAGTGTTTTTTAGGTTAAACATGACCATTGTCATAAGACTAAAGGAGCTTTAACTTTAAAAGCTCCTTAATCACTACTTTAAGAGTAGTGCCTTAAATATGGAAAAAGGAACTTTGTTATGTAGGTATCCTGTGGCCGACAGTCACACAGGAAGTTAATGTTTCAGGTGATGTTAATATGCTTTTGAACATTTTACAGAGATTCACTAGCAGTTTCCTACTGTTTCAAGTCTTTACACTTGGCTAAGCTGAGAGTCCAGGCTATAGCTCCATAAAAGAAAAAAAAGTGATGTTGCTGATTGTCTCTGGCAGGGAGTTTAAGCTTCTGTGTTTGTGTGTGTGTTTTATCAGCAGTTATGAGGGGGATGTGGAAAGAAAAAAAAAGAAAAACAGGATGCTGCCCATCAACACAAAGCAAATAAGCGACAGCTGGCCGAGGAAGCAGGACTCACCACATGAAGGATTTTGTTCTCCGTCTCAAACACCGTACAGTCCTACGGGACGAGAGAAATTTAATGTAGCGCAAGCAGTACATCCTGTCTTGCAAACACTCACCATCTCATGCTGCACATGCTGCTACACTACCTACGTATACAGTCTAGGGCTCACATTACTGTACCCCTACCCTTGACAGATAAAAACACGCCCACACAAACAGACACACTTATCTTTTATTTATATACACACACCAGTCATACATAAGACAGACTGTAAAGGACATAAATAGCAAAGAATTGACTCTCGCTCGAGGATGCAGAGGCTGAGGCTGCTGCATCACACCCACACAGACACACCGCTCTTTGGGGATATGGCACAGCAGCTACCCTCTGCCGCACACTTCAAGTGGCGGGGAATAAGAGCTATAAGCCTTCAAAACACACACACAAACAATTCCACACACCTGCTGTACAATGGTGGTGAGCTCCAGGCAGAGCTGAATGACATTATTTCGGGTTACTGAGTAGTCTGCCACTGCAGCAAAGGGAGACCTGGGGGGAAAGATAACACAGCAGTATGTCTTATAATGTTCCTGCAGCATTAGATGATGTGCAGAGGAGATGGACAGGAGCATTGTTACGGGGAGGGGAGGGAGACACGCCACAAACTAGACTCAAACACAGACACGCATGTAAGAATCCCTTTAATTAGTGAGAGAGAGGGAGTTGCTTTAAAACACAATGGTAAATGAATCTGTGCACTCGGTGAACATAAAGCACAACCAAAAATCTGTGAGGCTCGAGCTGCCGCTAATCGCAGTTATTTTCATTATTGACGTATCACTCAATTATTATTATTTTTTTAAATGTAACTGGAAGTTGTTTGGTCTGTTAACCATCAGTAAATAATAAAATCTATAATTACAAGAGCCTACAATGATGTTGTCAACTAGTTTATTGACTCGAAAGTCCTCATAATTTGGCTTTTTTGTCTTTAAATTGACTAATTAATTAACAATGTCATCTATAATGGGGG